CGCTGAATTTGTACTGCAGTAGGAATGTGCTATACATCCTATCCTTCAAGATGCCACAATCCCTGAAAGGTGTTCGATGCTCATAGCAGTTACAAGTACTCAGCACTTTTTGTTATCAGAATGATATACAGAAAAGAACTGAATCATTCTTGCCACTTCTTCCATTTCTTCTAGAGCTTTAAAAATTTTATTATTTATGATAGAAAAAAAAATCCTGCCATCTGGAAGCACATTATCACTTGCTACCTTAAAAGATTTTATACAGAATTTTAATCTCTATCACATATGAAAAATAAGGATGAGAAAGCTGTATTAATCTTATTAACCAAATCCAAAGCACCATAACATACATCTCAAACTTTAACCTCTATTAGTTTAAAAAAAAAAAAAAATCTCATTGTTCAAAACAGCACTGGATACAGCTCAAGCATAGGAAACACAAGCTTTCACTTATTTACACTTTCTGCATGTTTCTACTGTTAACAGACTACAGCGTAGAAGTTCCCTGTAACTGCAATTTCTAACAGTTCATGAGATGTTTTTCATATCTTAAGGACTTCAAACTGCATGATTTCACTCTGAACCCTTACTGAGGGGAGACAGACTTAGGAGAAAGGGACAGAACCTGATCACTTTCTGTGTAAGAAAGAAGTCTGAGATCAGAGTAAAACATTCCGCCTGGGGCCCTACTGTAAGATATTTTTTACAGGTAAAGAGAATATTGTACTGCTGAATGAGACATCTTTTTCATTTCCTTGTTTTTTCACATTTTCATCTGGGTACATTACATGTTTGCATTTCAAACTTCAATTGGCGCATGACTTTGGGATCCAACAAAATAAAGGCTAAAATATCACTGATCATAAACAATTAGAGAAACTGCAGCATATCTGCTTCACTATATGCCCTAACATCCACATACCACAGTGACATTCATATTGAAGCATATTATTCATTGTAATAATTGAAGAGCAGTGTCATCTTAAAAAGAAAGACTATAAATTACTGTAGCCAATTGCAAACCAGTAGATTTCTGTTGCCTGTTTTTGAACAGTTGAAGCAGCATTAGTGAATGAGAACTCATCTAAACAAACTCTGAATCTAACTAATATTTCTTACTCTCCATGAAAGAGGGCTTTTCCCTCTGGAAGGCTGAATTGGATGAGATATGGTTTGAAGCCCTGCATAAAAGCTGAGCTCCTGCAGACTGACTCCCTGCTAAGCCTCTTAACTCCTAAGTTTATCCACCCGGCTGCTCCAGAGCTTTTTACAGAAGTGAAGTTGTACAGTGTATCTTCAGCCAGGGTGTAAATCAACATCATTTCATTGATTTCAGAGGAGTTATACTGATCTGCATCAGCTAGGAACTTTACACGTTGCATCTCTCTGCTCAGTGAACTTAACTGACATCTCCCAACATCTCCCAGTATTAACAAGAAAATACAGAGCAAGCTTCACCAAACTTTTAAGTCTATTATGTGGTCCTGGTGATTTGAATGAATCTAAGGGAATAGAATTAGTAAAAATTGAAGGGAGAGGGAGCTGACTCTCCAGTAGATAGAAAAGTGCTCTCTACACAAAAGAAAATAGAAGGTTTCAAACAAAAGATGACTGAAGAAGAGCAAAAAGAGAGAAGTGATCCAGGTCAGGCCGTAGAGTAAAATCAAACAAAGATCACCTCATTAGAACTGCTCATAGAAAACAGAACACATTCTCAGAAAAAGTCTTAGCAAATGAAGTTACATTTAACTGTCATCGTCCTTAAAGCTTGCATGACTAATCCACAGAAGCAGAGCTTGTAATGAGCCTCGTTCATTGCAAACTAAATATAAGCATTAATGAATTAATGGTAAACCAGATGAATGCTGAGAATCTTGTCTAAGTTCACACAGTACTTCACAGAAGAACCACCTACTGGAGATGACTGCTATGCTTATGTCCTTAAAGTTTTACTCCAAGATGAAATCTTACTTCCGCTAGGGAATACGTAAAACAGGCACTTCCACTATAAATGGAACGTTGAGCACAACAAGATGAAAACTAAACAAGCATCATTCAAGTGACTCTCCAGCTTGAAAGATCAGGTAGTCATTTTATTATTTGGTTGCCTGGGACTGCGTTGGCATAAGTCTCTCATGAGACCTTTGGGTTTGTTATGAGCTGTTCTAACACTGGGATATTTCATGACATGTGTCAACGTTTTTATGAAGACCATGATATGATATAATAAGGAGAACTCAGAACAGCTGGAATAGATGAGCACAGATTTAAAAGACATCCAAATAAAACAGAAATGAGTTAAAACTTCAATAACCCCCAAAAACAAACAAACAAACAAAAATGTCTGGCAAGATTATACTTTCCGGTTCACAGCTCTTCTCTCTGTGTGCCCTCATTCAGATACGCTGACTTTGCGGAAAAAAAATCAATTTTTACTACTTTTTATTTCTATGCGCACTATAGCACTTAAAGAACTATGAGAATCTAAATTGAATTAATTTTTGGCGCATGAGTCATACAAAATTATTAAGCAAATTCTACCTACAAGCCACTTCAGAAAGCACAGACTGGTATGTAAATGCTTTCTACTACATGTTTAGTATTTCTTAAGTACATCAACATTACCATTGACTTTGTGCCAAACTGAAGAATTACAACTAGATTTTAAAATCCCTCTAAAATGCCCTTTCAAAGTATATGGCTAAAGGGGGAAGACATTTTTCAGCTTGCAAGTAAAAACTTTCATGCTTTTGCACCAGGCAAGAACACTATTCTTACAGAATCACTTTTAAAATCAGAATAAAATTACGTGTGCAGATTGACAGACTGTAAGACAAAACAAAAACAGGAAGGTCATATTACAGAAAGTTTGTTTTTGTTCAAAACATAATTATTAGATTCTTCCAGATGCCTCATCTTGTTTCAAAACTGGAAAATAAATAAATATCGTGAAAGCCACTTCTACAATGTTTGAGCATGAAAAAATGACATGACGTTTACTTATTTGCAAAGGTACAGCTGGCAAAAAGAAAATCTTTCGCAATACTAGTGTTCATTAATTTAATTATTAATGAAAACAATTTTAACACAGAATTACTACAGTAGAAACATGAGTCCATTCCCTCCTTAAACACAGAGCTCCCATAACAGGGTTTTATATGTGGCATATAATCTCATAGAACTTTGTACAAAGCCAAGGAAATTCATAAAGCCATCACCGTGATTAGAACATATGGATCAAAGTGACTCCTTGCCACGGCAACTTGCTGTGACTTCTTTAGCATAGACATATCTCAAACAGATAATCAGAAAGAGACAGCAAATTAAATTCTAAATAATAAATTTGCCTTTCTCATGTCTTTATTTCCCATTAATTTGAATCTTTTAAGTCTTCTTTTAATCTTAGAAGGGAAAAATAGATAATGCATTGTATTTATATTCACAGCATGTATTTACATTCACGTTGTGGAGTTGATTCAGCTGCCCACAGCCAGATGCCTAGGCCCACCTGAGATGCCCTTGGGACCAAGGCCAAGAAATCCCTTGAGGAACAGCAGTTACGGCACAGGACCCATGGGAGATCTGTTTCCTTCCTGAGTGGAAACCAGAGGTCAGCCAGGGTAACCTAGGGCATCTCAAATGGCACTGGATGCCTATCTGGGAGAATCTGAATGGAGCCTCTACACCAGGATTCAGCTTCAGATTTGGATAGCTTACATCACAGACATGTATGTTCAGGTGACTAGTTGTGAGGTAGGTGTCAGCGGGCCATACGGAGCTATCAATTTCATCTTAAGGTCAACACCTCCATCATCTCATCAGAGCAGCTCCCCAGATTCCCCTGGCCAAAAATTCCCATTGATTGCAAAAGCAGCAACATCACCTAGCTCATACTGCAGACACCTAAATTCAGTATCTGAATCTGGTGGCAAATCCCACCCTTAAGATGGGTGGGATGATTACCACTACATGAACCTCAGTTTGGCCCAGCTAATTTAGCCGCATATTGCCAGGACAGAAATTGTTGTAGGATTCTTTTATAGTCAGCGCAAAAAGACAGATACCTTCTGAGGCCAATTCAGTTAAATGTTGATTTTGGATGAGACTAATCCACAGCTCCCATATCCTCCAAAGCATATAGTTATATGTTTAATCTCTCTTAATCAAAACTGTAGCTAAAGTATAAAACCACATGCCTACATTGCCATTAGCTTTACTTCTTTCTGCTACCCTCCTGCTATATTATTCATTTGTGTTTTCTTTCATTGCCACTTATAAATCTTAAGATAGTATTTCCCACCCTAATCACATTCTTAACAAGACTTATTACAATCTTAATAGGCCTCTGGATGGTTTAAAAAAAAAAAAAAAAAGTAGAAATAATTCAGAACCGAATTCAACACTCCCAAACATAACTCTGTATAGGTTCACTGGCGCTGAGCAGCCATCAAATTGATCCCAGTTGGGGGCTAGTGAGAGCCCAACAAAGAGCGCTAGCAATCAAGTTATCGCTCCTCTTTGTCTCTGCTATACTTACTGCTAAGTCCTGATACCACGGTGAGATATGATCAAATATACCTTACAAATTAACCGAATTTAACTGTGATTATATTGGATTTACATCAAAACAGAAGTATTGTTTTTCATATCTCAGTGCCAGACCAATTCTAAAGCTAGCATCAAAGTTCTCTCCCCGCTAAAGTCTCTAATTTATATTTTAACCAATGTTTGAATACTGCTGAGGAGTTTAAAACTGAGGAATTACTCAGGGACAGAAAAGAATAATGAAGAAGGCGAATACTTTAAAAATACATGGTCAGAAAAAAATATCTCAAACAATTGCCTGTTGTTTTCACAGGCAGAGGAAGACCGGCAGACCTGAGAGAACTGCATGCCTGTCATTTGTGAAATATGCCGAATTGTCAAAGTCACTGAGTACTAGTGATATGCCAGGCAAAAATGCCAACTTAACAGTACAGAAATTCAAAGAATAAGATTACCTTGTTCCAATCTAAAGCATAGAGAACGTTTTGCAGCCTCTATCTCAGGACTTGGATGATCCAGAACACGTCTGCACCACTGCAGAGGACTGAGTGATTTCTCTTGAGGAGTGAGAGTCTTGGTAGGTAAGACATATAACCTTAACCAAAATACATACAAATATCAGAAAGATATGCAATACTTAAAAGTTAACTTTTGTACTCTCAGTTTCTTGCTAATTTATAACAGTGCATAACCCCGCACTATGAAATTCTATTAACAAAAAGCATTCAGCA